GAGTGACTGCGGGATGATCTGCTTCCAGGCACCGCCCAGGAAAGGCACAGGTTTCAGGATGCAGACAATGTGGGATCCAGACTTGGATGGACTCCAGACTTGGATGGACTCCCAGCACAGTCTTCCCGTGCCTCAGGAGGGAGGTCGACGTAGCAAATAGCAGTGTAACAGGTGGCCTCTGCCCCTGTGTGCCCTGCACCGCTGGCCGTCAGCTGTTCATGTGTGTTGACTCATTTTATTCTTGCCTATTCAAAATGCTAGTATTGGCCACATCTTACAAATAAATAAATGGACGCACAGGGTTCAGATAACCTTCCCAAAGCCACCTAGCTGGCAAATGTGGGCCTTGAGGTTTTTTTAGACTCAGTGTTTCTGGAACCAAGGGACTCTTCAGGGTCTCCCCTGGAAAGAGAGAAAAACTACAGCAATACAGACGTAATTTTGGGAGACAGTGGCATTAAAGAATATGCAGGGAAGGAAGGGCTGTGAAAAGGTCCCAGGACAGAGCAGCATTCGGGTGGGTGCAAAGGGACAGCTTCCAAGATGTCCAGCTGAAACACCGAGCACCCAGCACTTGGGATTTTCAGAATTAGATTATGTTACAATCCACAATGTAGTGCAGCCATTCGGTAAGTGATGTTCCAGGTCAAATATGACAAACTAAATCAAAATATTTGACATATGTGCAAATAAAAGCAGGTTGCAAAATGTTAGGAATTGATTTTCATTTCTTAAATGGGGAGGAGAGCTGTGCATGGTTCCTTGAAAGAAAATGCTAGAAAGAATGACACTCGTGTGCTCACATGTTCACCCGTGCTTTCACAAATGCATCCAATGAGCACGTATTTTTAAACAGGGAAACATTGAGTGAGTGGGGGTCCCTCTGAAGAGCCCTGGGGGAGGGGCTTAACTGGGAAAAGAAGAGGTGTCCCCACAGGTCACATCCACTCCTGGAGCTGCGGGGAAGAGAAGGCTCAGATGGTGTCGCATGTGGCCATGTTGGGGTGGTCAAGACTTTTGCAGGCAGCCAGTGTCCTCCTGAGTCTGCTCTGTGGCTGAGGTCGGCAGTCTGTGCATCCTGTTTTCCTGTCTGTCTGTAGTGGTTTGGGTCCTGTCTTGGCAGGACCCAGGGCCTGCAGTCCTTCCCGGGAGTGAAAGGGCTAGTTGTTGCTTTTCATTTCTTCCTTTTAAGATGGAGAAAATATTTTGGGCTTCTCACAAGGGGCTTTGAAACCTTGTCATGGAGAGGACCCATCACCTCAAGCTGGTGGGTGGTGTGCACCCTGTTTGCTAATAAACCAAAGCAGGACCCTCGTGTCAAAATGCTGGAACCGGCTGGATCAACTGGGACCCCTTCCTGCATTTGAGCTGCCCTTTCCACTTCCCAGCCTCATCAGCACCCAGACCTGAACTGGGAGGTGGTCCGAGTGAACTCCTAAAAGTGGGAGTGGGCATCTAGGGATCAAGGGCAGATACTTCTTCCTTTAATCTATGAAGACCAAGAATCCCTTGGCCACAAATCCACCAAAGACACAAAACAGGGTATGAGAGCGGACAGTGCGTGAAATGTGAACTTGAGACCATGAATTCTGCCCATGTGACTCCATCACAGCCTCCTTTTTTTCCTAAAGCAGACCCATAAAGTGCTGCCAGCCAAGCAGAAATCCTCCTCAGGCCCAAGGCTGGCCTTCCGTCTGGGCTTGTCAACAAACCCCCTTTATGAGTGGAACAGGCCTCTTGTATGTGTCGCGCTCCTGGCTCCTCACCGAGTGCGCTGGGAGCCAGGCGAGGCAAACGCTGGGCGCTGTTTGCTGAGTGCGTTTATTGCCTTTGCATAATTTATGAGCTGGAGGGTTGACCATCATTCGTCTCTGCCAGGGGCTGGCACTCGAGGCTCCAGAGAGCGGAGCTGTAAATTGGATGGTGCGCTCCTGCTGAGCTCACGGCAAAGTCCTCGGGTCAGTATGGGAATTTAATACCAGAAATGGAACTGTTTTCTCAGCGCACCATGTGGGCCCCGGCGCAGCGGAGACGGTCTTGGCAGACTCCACGGCTGGCCCGCCGAGGAGCTGTCACTCACCCGCGTGTTGTGTGGGGAGCCTGAGCATTTTTAATCGGCTTGGCATCCGTGCTGCTTCCATAATGGATACCAGTAGGTCTCAGTTCTTCACCATATGCTTAGCTCTGGAGACAAGGTGCTTCTGGGTATATCAGTAATTACTTGATGCAGAATTAAGTGGACCTTGAAATTAGAACTGGACTGTTGGAAAGCAGGAAGCTTAACACTTTGATAGAAATAACCATTCCCAGGGACATCCTGCTGTTGGGACGGGGGCAGGCATCGGTTCTCTCCCAGGCTCCCCAGCACTTCTCCCTCAGGCGCACAGAGCCTCAGGGGTGTGGGCAAATGCTCTGCCGCGGCCCTCGGCTGTCCCTGATCACCTCCCGAGGAGACTGAGCATCTGGAGAAGGAGCCCCGCCTGGCAAAGAGCTCCTCTCCTCTTCACCTCCTGCACCATGCCTTGCCACTCCTGAAAACGTGCCCAGGACTGAGGGGCCTCCAGGAGGGCTCGATTAAAGGCAAGGGGAGGTACACTGCGAGGAGAACACCACTGTCCTCAACCATCTGTTGGTTGGGGCCTTTGGAGGCTTCATTTCGCCCATTTTCTTCCTCAGCTCATTTGACTTATTGTAGTAGAAAAATCCCTCATCAGGCTAAAGAGCATGGCTTAAGGTCATCTGAAGCTGGAAGAGGGCTGGAGGGGTGTGGTTGTCCTTGGTCGAACCGTGGTCACTGATAGTTAATGATCCTGTGGCGCTCAGGAGCTGAGAGGAGGGGGAGGACATGTCCCAGCCCTCCAGTCTGTAAGATCACAGTGCAAGTCCTCAACTCCTCTTGGGTGGAGTGCTGGTGTGAAAAGAGGAAGTAGTCACCAAACTGTCCACTTGGAGTGGGCTCTTACATCACCTTCCATTGAAGATGCTCCAACAGTGGCCTAAGTAATAAGATCACTTACTGTTTTCTGAACGAAAACATCCAGAGGCAGCTGCTCTGAGGGGTTCAGTGGCTCTGCTCTCCGCCTTCCGTTCCCTTGCAACATCCAGCTTGTGTACTTAGGCTTTTTGCCACAATTTTGCAAGATGGCTGCTATGGATCTGGACATCACATCTCACACAGTCATGTTGAAAGGCAAGTTGCAGATGGTTCCTACCTTTTTCTTTGCATTGAGAAGAGAAGATCTTTTTCTAGAACTCTCAGCAGACTTCAAATCTCATTTTTTTAAATTTATATATGACATCGAAATGCATTATAATTCTTATTACACATATAAAGTGTAATTTTTCATATCTCTGGTTGTATACACAGTGTATTCACACCAATTCGTGTCTTCATACCTGTACTTTAGATAGTAATGATCATCACATTCCACCATCATTAATTACCCCATGCCCCCTCCCTTCCCCTCCCACCCCTCTGCCCTATCTAGAGTTCGTCTATTCCTCCCTTGCTCCCGCTCCCTACCCCACTATGAATCAGCCTCCTTATATCAAAGGAAACATTCAGCATTTGGTTTTTTGGGATTGGCTAACTTCACTTAGCATTGTCTTCTTGCAAATGCCATGATTTTATTCTCTTTTATTGCTGAGTAATATTCCATTATGAAAGGAGAAAAAGAATACCTACGTTTTCCACCTCAGAGGGTCAGGACTAGGGAAAGGGAGTTACAAGTGGCTGTGGGTGTTCACCCGGCAGTGGCCACTCGACAGCACAGCCGCTTCCCATTTCTGTCCATACCTCTGTCAACGCCCATGTCCAGGTGGCCACACTGAAAACCTTGGTGTCACCCTAGACCAGCCCTGGTGCTGGCCTCCCATCTCCATGTGTCATTGAGTGCTGCTGGTTCTCCTTCAGGATGGCTCCACCATCTGTTCCTCCCTCTCCCACGCCAGGCCCTCCTGGGTGGCAGTGATTACTGGGTGACAACCGGTATTCAATGGAGATGACTCTTAGCATGGGGTGACCTAGTTCCCCCCTGTGCATCCTCTCTCCTCTACCCCACCCCATGCCAAGAGCCCTCTTGATGGAGTGTGCTCTGTGCATGCCACAGCCCTGCTAAACTGCGCCTAGCTGAGGGCATCCACCGTCTTGGGTAATGCTCTCACAATGCATAGCATTATTTTCTCAGTGGCTGTTGAGTGAGTGAATGGATATATATATCTGCTGAGCATTTTCTCTAACAAAACACACTCCCCTTTTTAAAATCCAGTATTGATTTACATAACTCTTTTGATATTTAAAAAGAGGTGTTCTTTTTCCTTGACTCGCAATGGGGAACCCAAAGCTTGAGTTAACTGTCCTTCTCTGGCTGCCCCACAGCCAGCTTCACAGTTGGAATTTGAGACTTGTTGGGCTTGGTGTGGTCTGTGCCCCTGGTGGTTCCCTGCCCAGGCTGTGGGTTTGTCACCTTGCCCTTCCATGGCATGTTTTCTGCAGGGATTGTTCCTTCTGTTCTCAGGGGTCACAAATGGAGCCTTGCCCCTTATATCTGTTTCTTTCAATATTGAAAAGGCAGTGTCCAGAGATTTACCTCCTTTCCTTTAGAAAAGCACCAGGAGAAATTCCCGAAGTTGAAGGTAGAAAGTCTGTCATGAAATTGATTTTGCTCAGATCCCATTTAGGAATCACATTTCCTCCATCCGTGGCCGGGCTGGCTCCTACTGGGAGCCCCGTCTGCTGAGCTGTGCTGTGGAGGGGCTCACGGTGGGACCAGCACCTGCTGCCCTGACTGTGAGGGAGCCCCGAGGTACAGGTGTCAGGTGGCCTCAACAGGACAGCGTTCCACCTCTGGTCCTGTTCCCTCACCCTTGGGCTGAAGAAACTGCAGCTCACAATATATTTCCTATTTCCTTTACTTGTCTTGCCCTTTTCAGGAGCAGAAATAGCAAAAGCAAAAGCATAGTCATTGCACTAACCTTTATTCTCTTCTCTTCGTTTTCAGTGTGACAGTGACAGTGACCAGGAAGAGAAGGTAAGACCCCCCCCCGCCCGCCGTGGGCATAGTACCCAACAGGCCATGAGCACCATAGTGCTCCTTCAGGCAGCCGTGGGTGGGGTGCCAGCTTCTTGCTGAGAGCACCTGTTCCCTCCTGAGATGGGCATCGTTCACAGTGACCTCCTGTAAGAGGCAACACGTGTAGCTTGTGAGACCCACTGTTTAAAACAAGCTCCTTAACATTGCCTGCATGTGACACATGTGACACTGTTCACTTTATGGAAGGCTACTAGAGACCCAGCACATTTTTAAAGAAATCCTGTTAGAATCCATGGTGGCAACATTGAACTTGCTAGCTATGAAGCCATTTTCTGCCTTGCTCTTACTGGCCTGTTTGCCTCCTCCGGTTTTCTGTATGTGTGGCCTTCCTAACAGAAATGTCAAGGGCAGTGTGTCCAGACATCCCATGGGGGTTGGGGTGGACAGGTGGGAGCTGCTGTCTTCTGTGGGTGGATGGCCGGGAGAGGGCAGTTCTTCCAGCAGGTGCAGCCTCTGTGTGTCCAGATCAGCATGGATCCAGAAGAGAAGCTCAGTATTTGAGCTTCCAGAAGATTGGACCACAACCTGGTAAAGTGAGCTTTCTGCTGCCTGAAACAAAGTGGTTATGTACTTGGTCCCTCTTTCTCCCTATCCCAATCTGCCAACCAAACTCCTCTGAGTTTTTATTGCTGTTTTATGTTTTTAACAAAGTTACTTGAGCATCACGTTTTCTATAATGCTTGGCCCAAAAGGAGGGACGGTCCTGCCCCCCGCCCCCCCCCCCCCATTTCCAAGTCTGTGCTCTGACTCTGAGCTCCTAAGTTCTTGCAGATTTTACTCAGAATCCTGCAGTTGCATTTATTGAGCTCTCTGCGTCCAGCCCAGGAATTTTCCCTTCTTCTCTGTGCCGGTCTCCAGGAGAGATCCAAAGGCTCTTGTTCTGCACTGTCGTTAATTTGAATTCAGCATATGTAGCCTGTTATAAAATGCGAGACATCATCATTTGAGCAGGTCAAGCATATTCAGATGAAGACAAATGGTGCTTATTTGATTTCCTTAAAATCAGGAAATGAAAAAAGTGCTCTCTGGAGAAATCATGTTCTGCCTGACTTGGATGATAGACCAATGCATGTCCCCCAGATAAGAACAGGCTCTCGCCTGGAGGTTTTTATCTCTGAAGGACGGCCAGGACTGTCAGCTTGCTGACATGTGCATTATCCATGTCACTTTAAACAAAGTGACCTATGGAAGGGTGTGCTGTGCTGTGACATGGTAATGGGCTGTTGGATGACAGGGAGAGTACACTCTGGAAGGGGCTGTGGGTTATTCTTTTGTTTAACTGACAAGTAGGAACTTCCTCCCTCCAGCCCGTGCGAGTCTCAGCTCCTTGGAAGTAGGACCCCTGGTGTCTCAGGCAGCCAGTGTGTAGTGGGTGCCAGGGATGAGTGAACAGCAATAATGCTTCAGCATTCCCAGTGTGGTCAGTGCCCACTGAGCCACCAGTCACGTTCACACATGGCAGTTATTGTCTAGCTCTGTCAGATGTTGCTGGCACCCAGAGAGGACGGGAACCTTCTGGCCATTCCAGGAAATCTGTGGGTGGTGGGGCTCTCACTTCCCAGGTCTGGCACTTCTCCAAGTAAATGGGCCTCACGCAGGGTTTGACAAGGCAGACTTCCTTCTCAGGAAGGAAACGTGGATTCCAGGGGCATCGAGGTCAGCAGTGGAGGTGGGAGGGTGCTGCAGTGCGCTCCTGAGTCTGGCTCTGCCGTCGCGGTCTTGGCTGCATCCTCAGGTCCCTCGGGAAGCTCTTCCAGTGCCAGTGCCTAGGCCTCCCCAAGGTCGACAATCACAGAGGTGGTCACCTAGCTCTGGTAATTTCTAGAATTAAGTTACTTGTGGCTGTCACAGGGAGCTGGGGGCCACGGGCCTTCCTGTATGCTGGGTAGGCCTTGGCTGTCACCTGGATTCCCGAGCCGTCGCCGGCTCTCCTGAGTGCAGTAAGAAGCAAAGGTCCAAGTGAGGGGGCGGTGGGAAGGCAGCACCCCCCCACTCAGCTTAGAGGACTACAGGGCAGTAAGGAAAACTAACAGGTGCCCACAGGGGTGGAGCGCTCACCTGGCACGAATGAGGCCCTGGGTTCGATCCTCAGCACCACGTAAAGATAAAATGAAGGTATTGTTGTCCATCTACAACTGAAAAATAGATATTTTTAGAAAAACAGATGCTTACAGAGAAGACAAGGGCCTCGGGGGTGTCCCCACCCCCTGTGCATGCTGTGCCTCCTTTGCGCGAGGTGCTCCTGCAGGTCTTAACTGAAAGCCACGCCACGACAGGCACTCTGCATGGGTCCCTGCCCTGCCACATGCCTTCTCCTGGAGGTTCCTGGCAGGAACAATCAAGCCTCTGTCATTGAGCCGGGCCTCCTCGGCCCTGGGGTAGTTGAGAGGGTCAGCCTTCTCCTTTTGGACTAAAATGGTCTGGGTTTATTACTACCTTGAACCCCGTCCTCTCAAAATTGTCTCCGCCAGAGCCTGGCCCTGTCGGCCTCCTGTGTGGCAGGCCCTTGGCCATGCACCTTGGAGCCCCAGAGCTCCCAGGGCAGCTGTCTTGTACGGCTGGGAGGACCGCAGATGCCCTCCGTGTCCTGAGACCCCTGCAGGGAGCCCACCAGGAATGCTGTTGGAGGCAACAGTGAGCCTCGTGGGGACCCACTGGGAACTCTCTCCAGAAGAAACTGTCATCCCCCTACTCCACAGGGATCTGCGAACTGGCGTCTAAAATCAGGGGACTGTATTTCACACAGCCGCCTGAATTAAGATAAACTCTGCTTTCCTCTGATATGAAGATGTAATTTATAAAATGATACCTTACTAATTAATGTGGCAGTGACTGGGAAAGGGGCTGAAGAGGAGCGCGCTCCCTAAATGCAGGAAGCAGGCTGTGCGCAGAGAAGGCTTTGAGACCCTGGGTGGCGTCTGCCCAGCCGTCCCCAGCACGTGAACGCGTTTCACATTATTGTTGAGAGCCTGAGGACACTGGTGCTGAGCAGAACCTGGGTGGGAATCAGAGAAGACTGCGAGCTCTCCATCTCCAATGAGGGGCTGTTCTCTTGCAGTTAGAGAAAGAGAGGCAGCACTTGGCACCTTAATCACCCGAATTAAGCAATTATTCATTCCAACCCCCACTCAAAGTGAATCGGCACCAGGAAAACAAAGAGGCAGCGTGCGGATTCCACGTATTTGGCCTGTGTTTCCCTTTGTTTCCTCATGGTCTCCACCCGCAGCAGCAGCCTGGGTGCTAAGCAGCACCCATTGGTTATGAGGTTAATGCAGACATGGAAAGTAACCCCAACTGTGCCATGTGACCGCAGAAGGGAAGGCATATTGCCCGGGTGCCATGGCCTGGGCTTGTCTCTGACTGCCCCTTTCTGCCTGATGGCCGTGGGCAACCTGGCCTTCTCATCTGCTGAGGGGAGGACACCAGCTCCACCCGTGTTCTGTGTCAATTAAATGGAGCCTCCTGGCCCAGCCCTGACCGTAAGTGCCCGGTAAGCGTTAGCTGGCCTGAGTCCCACCTGGGAGGTGGAGAGGGAACTGCCTGGGAAAGGAGGAAACTGCCATCTCCTTGAAAGCTCTGGCTCCTCAGGGAACCTGACAGAGTGTCCCACCCGAACCTGAGGTCAGCTCCTGTCTCGGATGGCGTTTCTCCTGGGACAGCTGATGGGAGTGTTATTGCACTTTGAAGCGTCCCCAAGCAGTGTTTTTGAAGCCCCTTATTCAAACATAAGGCTTTGCTCTGAGCGTAACCTGGAGCTGAGGGCAGCGTGCCGTCTGGAAGGACAGCAGGATGGTCTGAAGCCTTCCGTGTCCCCTCAGCAGCTCTTCCCAGATGCCAGAGCTGCTGGGTCAACAGGCAGAGGTTCTGAGTCAGGGCTCCCAAGTGGGGCCGGGCATCCTAGGTGGGCACTGGGAAGCTGAGTGGGGGAGGCCTGCCTTGTGTGTGTGAGGCCCTTGGAGCCCCAGTGCCCCACACAAATGCCTCCTAGGTTGTATTTGGCGCACAACTGGGTCTGAGACCCACGACTTAAAACAAATGCCAAAAAGAAATATTTTTCTTTTTTTTTAAGCATTTTTAATACCTTTATTTTATTTATTTATTTTATGTGGTGCTGAGAATCGAACCCAGGGCCTCACACATGCGAGGCAAGCGCTCTACTACTGAGCCACAACCCCACCCCACCCCCAAAAGAAACATTTTTCTTTCCCCATTTTTAGTGCTCTTGAAACTTCTCCTGCTTACCAGAAGGCCTGGGAGGCTGCAGAGTGGTCAGGTGTGCACCTCTGCGGGCACCTGGCGGGCCCCTGCCTTAGGTGGCTGGTGTGAACCTGCGCGCACGCAGTACAGCAAACAGCCTCACGGAAATGGACTGTCCTCCTTTTCCACCTGCCTCCTGACTGCAGTTCCCCTTGGCTAACAGCCTTATGCACATGGCAGGGAGGCGGCTGGGCTCCTGCGCTTGGCCCCTGGACAGCCACTGGGACGCTGCCTGCTGTGAAAGGAGAACCTCGGAGTCCCCACATCCACTCTCCCTCCCACGCAGGCGCACACTTTTTGCACGACCTCATATTTTGATCCATGTTCAGCTCTGTGGGTTTTGCATGTTGTGTTCACTTGTGTGGGGAGATGGCAGCTCCTAAGAAAGCAGCGGAGAGGCCAGCACTTCTCCCCCGCTCAGCCCACACCTCCTTGGCCAGGAGGCCTCAGGAAGGGCTGAGCCTTCAGACTGGAGATGTGGCTTTGCTTACAATGGAAGAGGCCCACCCCTGCCTGCCACAGTTCACACCGGGAAGCTTGTGCGCCCTCAGCAACATTCCAGAAGCCCAGCCGCCCTGGCGGTTGCTTGAGGCGCCCCAGTGCCTGGTTTTTGAAATAAGATGGATTCTGGATTCTGGTCAGGAGGCAATGGAGAGGCGCTGCCCTGTTTTGCAGCTGGA